AGAGTAAAGCAAAGCCACAAGAGAAGCAGCAGAGGGGAATACAAAGAGCTATCTCTCTCCGTTGAGCACCCCTAAGATTTGGGGGGAACAATTTCCTGGGATCCCAATTCAGATATTCGCTATCAAAATAACAAAACACAAGTTTCCCTGATGCCAAATCCCTCCTTGGATTACTCCTGTGAAGACAGAAATGAACAACAGAATCCAACAGCGCACCAGCATTGTGGCACAGTGGGCTAAATCGCTGTCTGTTAAGTGCCGGCTGTTCCACCTCTGGACCAGCTCATTCTAAAGCACAAACAAAAGCAGTGAAGATGGCTCAGGGACCGGGCGCCTGTCATCCACGCGGGAGAGAAGGCTGGAGTCCCAGGCTCCTGGCTTCATTCCTGACCACTGCAGTCATTTAGAGAGTGAAGTAGCAGATGGAAGATTCTTTCTCATTCCTTCTTTCTGAAACCCTTTCAGATAAATGAATTAAAAAAAAAATAGCCCCCACACTTGGCCTTTTGGCTAAGATCAAGTGTAAAAAATAGGCCACACAGCATGAATGATGAAAACAAAAATGTAATGGTACTTTGTACTTTACCAATCACTAGAAGGAGAGAATTCTCAGTCTGTTACATAACTCATATAGAGCTTTCATCTAATCTATACATCCTTTCAAAGGGCCACAATGTAAATACAACAGAAACTTGCTGGCCAGCATTTCCTTGGCCCGTGGTCTCTACCCTCTCTCTGAGGTGCTGCCCTATGCCCCAGCGCACCAAAGGCCCCAGTTACGCTCCCACTTCAGCGCCACTCAGTCAGTTTCTGAGTCGCCTGTGTTTGTTCTCAAGTGACTTATGCCAGCATTACTTATCTTAACGATGGTAACTAATCAAACATGAAAAGATTCGAGGAAAAACCCTCACAAAAATCTATGCATGGGCCTGGCGCGATAGTGTAATGGTTAAGGTCCTCGCCTTGAATGCGCCGGGATGCCATATGGGTGCCAGTTCTAACCCCGGCGGCTCCACTTCCCATTCCAGCTCCCTGCTTGTAGCTTGGGAAAGCAGTAGAGGATGACGCAAAGCCTTGGGACCCTGCACCCATGTGGGAGACCAGGAAAGGAAGTTCTTGGCTCCTGGCTTCGGATCGGGGCAGCACCAGCCACTTGGGGAGTGATTCATCAGATGGAAGATCTTCCTCTCTGTACATCTGCCTTTCCAATTAAAAAAAAAAAAAAATCTGTGCACAAGGCCAGTGGTCACGCGTCTTTTACTCCCTTAAGCTTCATTATTTCTCATTGTGTCATTATAAAATAGGTTAAAGGGAAAAAATGTATAAAGCACTGCTGCTCCCTTCTGTTTCAAGAGTTGCTATGCTCTCTCAAAACAAGACACGTGCTCACCTAAAGGGACCTCCAGCGCCCCCTGCTCGCCCACAGGACAGAGTCCACCTCTTACTAAGAGTTTCCATTTCCTGACTGAAGCCTGCCTCCGCTGCCATCTCCCAGAGTGCCCCTCCCCGACCTGGGGGCCGGCTGCTCTGTGCATAGTCCAGTCAGATCCATCTTGTCGAGTCTGACTTCCGATGTTCTCTGCCTGCAATGCTGACCCCATCTCTTTCCATGCATTTTAATTTTTCTCAAATTTATTTCTATTGGACAGATTTACAGAGAAGGAGAGACAAAGAGAAAGACCTTCCATCAGCTGGTTCACTCCCCCAAATAGCTGCAACAGCCAGCTCTGAGCCGATCCAAAGCCAGGAGTCAAGAGCTTCTTCATGGTCGCAGGTGGGTGCAGGTTCCCAAAGACAGAAACCCTTACTTCTGTCAGCTGTGTGTTGCCCCACCGAACGGTACAATTGCGCATCCTGTTCCTAGAGCACTCCGGGCTCAGTCCTAGGCCTGCAGACGCGCCTCCCGTGCATACGCCTCGCCCTAATGAGCAGCAGCTTCAGCCTGTTGCAGAATCAAGGCAAGCCAACTCCAGGAGGACAAGTTCACCTAAAAACGGCTAAGCATGCAGGACGCCCTACTTATGTCCACACTCGATGTTGAAGCAACAAAGTTAGACACACACTGAAAACCATGCCGAAATCAAAGCCTTGGCCACCCATGTTAAACAGTCTAAGAAGTGACAGGAAGAGCAATAACACGCCCTGGACACCTACAGTTCCCTCACTGAGCCCAGTGCGTTCGGCCGGTGGGCTCCCGAGGACTCCCCGGAGGATTGCCTCTCACAGGCCTGAGGAGCGAATGGAGGCGCTCAATTCCCAGGGCTCAACAGTGCTTTAGCAAATTTGGCAAACACGCTCCCCATGCGTTCCCAGCGGGGACTGGGGGAGGGGCACCTGTTAGGGTCTTCACAGGATTTGGCTACCCAAACTCGGAAGCCTGCTTAAGAACCCAAGTTTCAGGCCCGGTGGCGTGGCCTAGTGGCTAAAGTCCTTGCCTTGAACGCGCCAGGATCCCATATGGGCTCCGGTTCTAATCCCGGCAGCTCCACTTCCCATCCAGCTCCCTGCTTGTGGCCTGGGAAAGCAGTCGAGGACGGCCCAAAGCCTTGGGACCCTGCACCCACATGGGAGACACAGAAGAGGTTCCTGGTTCCCGGTTCGGATCAGCGCAGCACCGGCTGTTGCGCTCACTTGGGGAGTGAATCATCAGATGGAAGATCTTCCTCTCTGTCTCTACTCCTCTCTGTATATCTGACTTCGTAATAAAAATAAATAAATCTTCAAAAAAAAAAAAGAACCCAAGTTTCATGTCACGGGTATCTGGATGAAAATGTCAGTAGATTAAAGGTGGAGCCTTGATCCACTGGAGGAACTGAAGGCCTCTGGGCAGGGAGAGGACTGGATGAACTCTGCTGGGCTGCAGCCCCACCCTCAAGTCAGGATGGCACCATTAGGGGCCGACCTCACCCGGGTGCACCAAGAGTGCGCTTCCTCATCTCTCAGCTTCCTGGCTGGCCTTGGTTTCCCCCAGGGCCAATGGAATCCTGGACTGTGAACCCCCAAACTGTAAGCTGACAGAGATCTTCTGACCTTCTGAGAGGCTCCTAGAAGTATTTAGGTTCAAGCAACAAAAAGCTGAGTGGCACTGCTCAGTTGCCGGTGACTCATGGCCACAAAGCACTTAGAATAGTTGCAGCACACAGTGAGAGCTGCACAGGTCTTGGTCATTTTGAGGGTTTATTACTCTGTGGTATTATGACAGTGTGATGCGTAGAAACCACTGATGGCTCCTTCCAGAAAACACACCGTTCAATAAATTCTACAGCCAGCTGACTAAGTGCCTACGACGTGAGGTTCTTTTTTTAGTCTTCGTAAATGTTAAAGGTATTGTCAGCACCAGTTTAAGGAAAAAAAAAAAAAAAAAAACTCCAGCTCAGGCTTGAAGAGATGAAATAGATTAACTAGTCACATGTTTCCAAGCTGAAATGCCAAGATTTAATCACAGTCAGAGTCAGAAGCTCCGGGCCACACCATGTGTGTCAAGACTTACTCGAGGTTCAAGGCTTCATGTCCTCATCCAGCAAGTTATGGGGTGTCTAAGCTCAGCACACTGACAGTCCCTGACCACGCAACGGCGACCTTGGCCGTCAGAGGGGCTACGATCTCAATGACTCACCAAGGACAGGGTGGACAGTAACCGATGACATGGAGGAAGGGACAGAGTTACCCATCACCCTCCCACGTGGCTCAAAGACGCCCCCCAAAGTGTTAACAGGCACCCCATGAAGGAAGGCACTGGGAAATGCTAAGAGGCACTCCTGGAAGGGACCAGGAGTGGCCATTCCACAGGAGAGCCACCTGCCTGCCCCAAGGGCATGCCCTACAGATTTAGCCATACATGGTCATAAAACGTTCAGTGCCCACATTTTTTTTTTCTCCCCAGCGACCCAAGGACAAAGAGGAGTGACGGAGGAAGGAGAAGCAGAATGTCAGGGTCGGAACAGCCACTGTGCTAGACTCTGGATCTCTCAGACTTCCACCACCAAATGTGCAAGCTAGCAGTCTTGGAAAGAGCAACGCCAGCAGCCTGCCCGGCGCCCTAAGGCAGAAAAGGGAAGCTCCGTCCGAGCCCAGCAGGTGGACAGATGCGGGCTGGGAGCCCCTCACAGCAGGCCGTGACGAGGGGCACCCCAGCCCTGTCCTTGGAGCTGCTCCGGGCCCCGCGCCACACTCCCGGGACCCAGAGCTGTTTATGTAACTCCGCTGGCTGCTGCCTCGGGGGCTGCAAGGAGCCCCGGCACACGCGGGCCCTGGGCCCTGGAGAAAACATTCCGGGAGTGAGCGAGCACGCCCTGCTTTCCGCCACATCACAAGCTTGGGCGTGAACACGCGTGTGCACACAGCCGGGAGGGGCCGGGCCCTCAGGGCCAGCTGGTTTGCAAGGAGGCCGGGCCGGGGAGGGAGGACAGGGCAGGGCAGGGGCCAGAGGACAGCCCAGGGCAGGCACGAGCGGAGAGCCGGGGATGGAGAGATGCCCGGACCGAGGACGCAGGGCAGCTCGGGCCGGGGACGGAGGAAAGCCCAAGGCAGGCACGAGCGGAGAGTCGGGGATGGAGGCCGGGCCGGGCCGGGCCGGGCCGGGGACAGAGGGATGCCCGGGCCGGTAGGGAGGCAGGACAGTCCCGGGTCGGGGTGGACGGAGGGCCTGGGAGAGGGAGGGCGGCCCGGGCCTGGCGAGCGGAGATCCGGGGACAGGGATGCCGGGGCCGGGGCGAGCGGAGATCCGGGGACAGGGATGCCGGGGCCGGGGCGAGCGGAGCCGGGGAGGCAGGATAGTCCCGGGTCGGGGTGGACCGAGGGCCTGGGAGAGGGAGGGCGGCCCGGGCCTGGCGAGCGGAGATCCGGGGACAGGGATGCCGGGGCCGGGGCGAGCGGAGCCGGGGAGGCAGGACAGGCCCGGGCCGGCGGGGAGGTGGACTGTGGGCCGGGGTCAGCCCCGGCCGGCCTGCCCGCGGCCCCCGCGCCTCCCGGCCTCCCGCGCCGGCCGCTCCCGGTCCTACCTGGTCCGACGGCCTCTCCCGCAGATCCGATCCAGGAACTCGGCTTGACCCGGCGTCTTCACACACACTAGCCCAGGCCGCAGACAGGCTTCTCGCGAGAACACCACCTTCCTCCCTCGCCGCTCGCCACTCTTCTGACACTCTCGCGAGAGCTCTCCGCCAGACGCCCTCGGCCGCCCCCTAGAGGGTCCGAGGCGCAAGTGCGCGCTCTTCGCCTGTCCTGGACGTCCTAGGAATCCTCCGTGAATATAAACATCGAGGTGTTTGGGGGTTTGCTTCTGAAAACAGATGCTGCTCTAAGCCACGATCTCAAGTGGTTCTGGAATGTCCTCACAGAATTTCGTATCCGGATACAAAATCAATATGGGAACACACGGGAGGAGGGCGGTTATTGTGTAATTCACTTGCTTGCGTTGAATTCCTACAGCCAGAAAACAGGGTGGAGTTTGCCGTTGGCTGGAGAAAGTTGTGCATGAGTAGTTGTGCAAGAGGCAGAAAGTGAATAACAAATGCAGATTCCACTCTGCGGGAAGCAGCCTCTAGGACAAGCTTCTCGCTCCCTGTTACTCGCACCCTGCCCCCTCTCTCCAGCTTACAGTATGACTGCACCACGATGGGATTTTTTTTCAAAAACTTTTAAACTTTCTTCAAAGATATTTATACATTGCAAAGGCAGAGTTGTTGAGAGAGACAGGGAGAGAGAAATCTTCCATCTGCTTGTTTCCTCCCCAAATGGCTGCAATGGCCAGGAGACAGGTCTGTCCAAACCTAGCAGCCAGGAATTTTGTCCAGGTCTCCCATGTGGGTGCAGGGGCTCAAGGATCTGAGCCATCCTCCACTGTTTTCCCAGGTGCTCTAAGGGAGTTGGTTCAAAATGGTGCAGCTGGTCTTGAACTGGCACCCATGTGGGACAGTGGTGCCACAAGCTGTGGTTTTGCCTACTGTGCCACAGCACGGACCCCCATGTTGGAATGTTGGTGTGTGTGTGCACCCAGATGTTAAAAAGGGGCTCCTTTTGTCTCAGTGAGACAGATGTGCTCATGCTCACTGCTGACTGCTTGCGCCTTTCCCAGCTCAGGAGAAAATCATAACAGGGTCTTTAAAAAGGAGGAATAGGTGTATTTATTTATTTGTAAGGCAGGATTACAGAGAGAGATGGAAAGACAAAAGAGATCTTCTACCCAGTGGTTCACTCCCCAGAACCTGGGCCAGGAATGCCATTTGGCTCTCCTACATGGGTTCACGGGTCCAAGCACTTTGAGCCATCTTCCTCCTCTGCTTTCCCAGGCACATTAACAAGGAGCTGGGTCAGAAGTGTAGAACCAGGCTGGACTGCAACACCCATTGATTCAAGTGGAAGTCGGGGCTGATAACCAACCCAGTGATTGCAACCACCAGCTGATGGGGGCGATGGCCTGTGCTGGGCCCTGTACTTGCTAGCACATGCAAGAATCTGGTCTGAGAACACCTCAAAGTTTCTTTGGAGATATCCCCAATTGAAATGCTGGACTCAGAACCCTAACCAAGAAAATAAAGGAGACAGAACAGGTCAATCAACCATCTCAGATATATGTTGGCAGCAAAATACTGGGCAAATGGAGACTGTATGATGGACTATGTCAATTAGTGGATTCTTCAAAGACCTCATGGTGCTTGGAGTAGCAAGACTGGAAGCGATTTATAACTGGTGAACTATCAAAACCACTTGAGCAAGAACCTCGGAACATGCCCTACATCTGGGACCTGAGGTGGTCTTCTCCCTTAATATCCCCCTTTAACCATGAAGGAAACAATATGGAAATAATAGTCTTATCCACCTTCCTATAACCCTTGAACCTTTTTACCCTAATTAATTATGTAAAGATTGTCAAAAATATAATTAAAAAAAAAAGAAAGAAAAAAAAGTGTAGCAGCTGGGACTCAAACCAGCACACCAAAATGCCAGCCCCTACAAGGGTGTCTCATGAGTCCCACCCGAGAGTGACTCCTACAAGTGAGTCAGGCAGCCTTAACAGAAAGCGGCAGGAGGCATAAGTGGGGATACAGGGGTTAGGGAGCTGAGAAGTCCGAGGGTGGACTGGCAAATGTAGATGCAGTGAGGGGGTGGGGAGCAGTGGGGAGGTGTCTGAGCAGCACTCAAAATTCCTATAAGGAAGTCCACCATCCCCAGACCAGTATGTCCACAGCCTGCGCTCTGGCCTGATGCCTCTTGCCTCCAGGGAAGGGTGTGGAAGGGGACTTCTGCATAACCCAAGGTAACCAGGGAGCCTTTGATTATCTGTGAATGACCAAAGCCACTGAGGGGCTCAGCTGGATGGCTCAACAGGTCCACAGCATGCTTAAACAAGATAAGGCCAGGGTCCGGGGGGCTGGGGGTGTGGTGGGGTAGAAAGCTCTTTATCAGCTGCCTATGGATTGCTGGACAGATGACCTGATGACCTGTCACATCCCTCCAGGCAGTGACTCTGGTAAGAGAAAGAGAGAGAGGAGTTTTAACTACCTGGCCTGGGCACCAGCCCAGACCCATTGGGTGAGCAAAAGTTCCCCAACACAGAATCCCCAAAGAGTGTGTATGTTGACACTGGTCATGTCATTGAGTGGTCTGCCAACTGTGATAGATCACTGATCATGGGGGCTGCCCCCTTATCACACCCCAGGAAGCCCTGGCCCTCTCCTTCCCTCCTGTGCTGCACCAGGGACACTGCTTCAGGCTGTCTTGCTCTGATCTGTCCTATCTTCTGGAGGACACATGTGGACACAGCTGGACAGGGGTTGGGGGTGGGGAGGCACAACAGAGGACATCCCTCCATGAAGCGGAAGGGAGGATTAACATGAACACCTCAAAAAAAAAAATAACGAAAAAAGAGGATCACCTTTCACCACAAAGGTGCATATGTGTTGTTCATTGCTCGTTGAATAGCAGGCTGCTGGCCACAGCCACAGCAGTAGCGCTGGCCCTGGGAGCAGGGGACACAGGACAACCCACAAGAGGCAGGAAAACACATGTAAGTTGGATTCACATCCATTTTTCCCTCTCCTTTTGCACTTGTGCATTGCATCAAGGCACACCCACAGTTCATACACAGAGCCAAACGATGCTTCCAAATTGTCCTTTACTGCTAAGTAGAGCTACACAACAAGGCTGTTAGCATGTGCCTCGCTGGACCCGCACGCCCTCCAGAAGTGCTTCACATGATCCAGGAGGTGACAGGACACTCATTTTCTGGGTTCTCCACCTCCACCACAGAGTAGCTGCAGTTCTCCTTGTGGAAGATCTCCTTGCACTTTGTGGTGTCAAAGCCAGTAGGGATTGCAACTCTGTCATGGAGACAAACCAAAGCCAATTAGAAGCTAAAAGATCCACCCCCCACCACCAAACACACCCACACTCACATATACACACCACCACCACCACCACTGCACTTGGACCAGGACCAGCTCTGCGAAGGAAGCAGGCCCACTGTAACTGCTTCTCCTCCCATTGTTCCCCCATGTTTGGCTGTCAGCACCCTTCTCCCTTCCTCTCCACCACCCCAGCTGTGGCCCCAGAGCACCTGCATCAGCTTGTTCCATGGAGTCACCCAGACCATCCCTGCTGCTAGTCATACATGTTGTGGCCTACAGGCACAGGACAGCCCTGAGAGACCCAGCCAGGGCCAGGCATGTGGCTCCAACCCAGCTCCCCTAAAGTCCCCATTCAGGAAGTGGTCAGGAGTGGGGGAAGGGGTAGCGCCATCCCAGGCCTGGCAGGCAGGAAGTTAGGAAATAAACCATCTGAAGCCACAGGAGCAAAGAGCCACTCTGGGCCAGGGTCCTGGGACCTAGGCCAAAGCTTAGGAAAACTGGGGACCACCTCGCTAGGAAAATTCACCCATGCATTCTGGGTGGTAAATAGCTATGCCTCATTTGCCCCCTGAAGCCCATGCCTCAACCCTGCATTTCACCTGCCTCTGCCCGGAGTGTGCATGGAAACAGCTATGCCCGGTTCCTTTAGGACAACGCTGCCTCCCAAGAAGTGACCCCCGACTCCTGTGTTAAAAGGTCACCCTTGTCAGTGTCACTCTTCTATCCCATCTGCCTGCTTCACAAGCCACCTAAACATGGGGCTCAGAACTGGAGAGGTTGGGGCGTTCAGCACCCGAGGTCCTGCAGGCTTGTCCTGCGAGTGGAAGCAAGCAACAGCACTGAGGTTCTGGTTTCATCCTTCCAGAGCTGGCATCTACATGACTCCTTGGAAGAGTCTGAGGAGCTGGAGAGTATTTATGCTAACATGTAGAGTGAAAAGCCCAGACAGCAAAATTCTAAAAGGGAAAAATAATGAGTAGAAAATAGGAAGGAAATGATGATAAGATGCTCATCATTATTGCCTTCAGGCAATAGGATTCTCATTTTATTCCTCTGATTCCTATACTTTGTGACAGTGCTGTAATTAATGTGTTTTAAATTAAAAACTTGGGAAATTATCATGGACATTTTTAATATTAAAAGTGGTCATTTGGGGGCCCATGTTGTGGCATACAGACATAAGCTGCCATCTGCAATGCCAGTATCCCAGGTGGGTGCCCACTGAAATACCCGCTGCTCTGCTTCTGATCCAGCTCCCTGCTAATGTGCCCGGGAAAGCAGCAGAGGATGGTCCAAGGGTGTGGGTTCCTGCACCTGTTTGAGCGGCCAACAAGAAGCTCCAGGCTCTTGGCTTTGACTCTGGCCTGGCCTGGCCTGGCCAGGCTTTTGCAGCCATTTGAAGAATGGACAAGTATATGAAGGACTCTCTCTCACTTTCTCTCTCTCTGTGTGATGCTACCTTTCAAATAAACAAGTCATTTTTTTTTCAAAGAATGCTTACTGATAGCCAAAACTGAATCAGATAAAATTTTTTTAAGTAAAAAAAAAAAAAAGGTTGTTTAATGGATGGAATGTAAATGTTGTGGTTGCCATGGAAAACAGATTTCTCCAAAAGTTAAAAAACAAAAAACATCATTCTACATGCCCCAGCATTTCTACCCACAGGCACGCACCCCAGAGGACTGAAAGCAGGCACTCAGCCAGTCTGGTAGAGTAGCATCGTCCACCACAGCCAAGAGCTGCAGCATTCCTCAGCTGATCAGCACAGGAGCGTGAGGAACAGGTACTAGCTACTCCAATCATCCAGGATGGTTTCCAAGTATCAAAAGGAAGCAATTCCTGATGAAGGCTGCAGCCTGGATGACCCCCACAAAACACGCAGGGAACAGTAAGCCACTCCCAGAAAGATGCACATTGTGTAATTCCATTTCTGTGAAAAATCTACAAGAGGTGAACTTACAGAGACAGCGGATTGGCAGTTCTCATGGGCCAGGGGAGGAAGAAGGTGCGATACTGCCCAATGGAAGGAGTATAGGGGAGGAGTCATTGAAAGGTTTCAGACATGGTGACGATGATTGAATAGATCTATGAATTAATTTCATAGCTCTGCATTATACATACTTTAAAGTGGTAAAAAAAAAAAAGGAGGGAGCAGTATTTTGAAATATATCTTTAGCACTAACTTTTCTTTAAATGTTTAAAAAATAGTGGTTTGTTGTCCAGGAGATGCTGATTTTTATCATTTTCAAAAGTTTATTTCTCCTCATCTATTTGAAAGGCAAAGTGGCACAGAGAGAAAGACAGAGATGTTCCATCTGCTTATTCACTCCCCAGATGCCCACACAGCCAGATCTGGGCCAGGGCAAGGCCAGGGCCCCGCATTCCACTGGGTGTCTCCCACAGGAATCCAAGTTCAAGGTTTGTTATCGGCTGCCTCCCAAGAGCACTGGAAGCGGAGCAGCTGGCATTAGAAATGGCACTCCCTCCCATGGGAAATGTGAGGGTCACAGCAACAGGGTCTGTCACCTGCTGAACCACAATGCTAGCCCTGGATGCTATTTTTTTTAAAGTAAGTTTTTAGGAGGACATGAGATTGTGTGGTTGTGCTGTCTGAGCAGGGACAAAGTGCGTGGCAGAGGGCATATTCCTGGATTTAACTTTTGCCTTAAACAAGACCTAGATGAAATAGCTCAGAGCAAATGAGAAGGGAGGACCATAAGGGGTGCTTCTTCCCAGCACTGCAGGCTGGCTGACCTTGGATATTAGCCCACACAGCTCACTCTCTCTGTGGCCAGGGAGCAGGGATGCTGGTTCCCAGGGGATCTCCCACCATCTGCCAGGGATGGTTTACCAGTCCTTCCCCTAGTCAGGCACAGGCTTTCTCCAAGCTTGGTTCAGATATGGAGCTACAAAAATCCAGATTCAGCCATGATGCACAGTGTTCCAGCTGCTGTCGGCAGGCAGGAAGTCTGCCAGCATCCCAGTTCCAAATTCCTCTTGTTCTGTTCTATACTTAGCACCAGCACCTACTTGATAAATGTGCCAAACTTTGCAGTTGTATAAACCTTAGGGAGACTCAGATGGTCAGGTTGAGGTCAAAAGCTCATTCCTCCGCTCACCGGAGTTGCCTTCAGACTCTCAGAGTCCCTGGTTACAATGCAGATTTCTCAGTCCCTCCCCTCACAGATTCTGATCAGAGGCTCTGGGGTGGGGCCCAGGGATCTGCATTCTACCCAGCCTCTTGGATGAGTCTGTGATCCGCAGGTGTGAGATACGCTGCTGTACACAAGTGCTTCTGTCAATGCCACTCACATTCTTGTGGAGAGTGATGTGAGCATCAGGTGAGGCTGTGAGGGTTGGGAGCAAGATGGCTGTAGGGAATTTGTGCTCCCCTCGACTACCACAGCAGGAAGCATTTGCAAGACCTTGGAGTTTGATGTGAACTCACAGCAAACCAATTTAGGGTTGATAGCACATGACAGACGCACTGCACCATCAGCCCTTACATCTCATATCTATCTCCCCCGCCTCTCCTTAGAGCCACTCTTCCTTCTTCAAGTGGCCAAGGCTGAGCTGATGACTGGGCCAACTTCTAGACCATTGGATGTGCTTTCATGTGTCCAGGAACCCAGCGGGATACAGAGATTCAAGGAGAAAGATACTAGAACTAGTGTTGTTCGTATAGCAAATCAAGCTAATGCCTGCAAAACTTAAATCCTATAGGAGTGCTGGTTGAAGTCCTGGCTACTTTATTTCCACTGTACCTGGGAAAGCAGTGGAAACTGGTCTGAGCAGTTGGGCATCTGCCGCCATTGTGGGAAACCCAGATGGAGATCCAGGTTCCTGGCTTTGCCCTTACCCAACCCTGGCTGTTGCGGTCATTTTAGGAGTGAACCAAGGATGGGAGATTCTCAATCTCTCTCTCTGAAGTTTGTAAATACATCAAGAGAAGAATAAATAGGACTGAAAACTAATTTCCATCCTTCCCTCTCCTCTCACTCCCCCTACATCAAGAGTAAATTCGAATGTGCATTGTGGCCATTGGATGATAATTATAAGACAACGTCAGGTCATTGGTTGTAACAACTGCACTGCTGTTGGAAGACATTGATAATGGGGAGACTGTGCCTGTGTGGGGAAAGAGGTGTATGGGAAATCTCTATACCCTGGCTTAGTTCTTCTGGAAATCTAAGACAGCGTTAAACATAAAACCTATTTAAAGCAAACAAAAACACTCCCCTCCCAATGATGGAGCTTTGAAAGAAGGAGCTGTCACATTCCTCCCCACCACCCATTTGAGACTCACGTGCTGCAGCACTGAATCTTGCTTTCGTCACAGATGCACCTGTCACAGTTTTCTGTCTTCCACGCCACGTTCAGCTGGTGTGTGACTCCATCGCTATCCCTGCATTCTAAAACATCACACACAGCATCCTCAGGGGAGTCCCCAAATCACTGGCAGTAGCAGGCCACACAAGGACAGGGAGGCCAGGCCCCTGTCATTTGACAATGGTATCCAGGAGACCTACTTCTGTCCTTCTCATGGCTACTGTGTAGTAGCAGCCATTGATTCTGTTTTGTTACAGAGCTTAAGCCTGTCCTGATTTTGTTTCAGAACAGATAGTGTGAGAGATAAGGCCCTCCTCTTCTAATCAGATTTCTACCATAACATGTGGTCACGGTGGGCCCAGATGTTCTCCTACTGGCTTCTCTCTAGATAAATAGCTCACAGCATCACAACCCCCCCTTGTTTTGCATGAGCGGTTTCTAGGTGAACCATGTGAAACATACTGGGTACTTCAAAACCATCCTCAGGGACAAGGCTGTGGCAAAGCCAGCTAACTGACCTACTTGGCATCCATATAGGCACTGCTTTGAGTCCTAGTTGCTCAACTTCTCATCCATTCTCTGCTCATATGTCTGGAGAAACTGTGAAAATGATCCAAGTACTTAGGCCCATCTTACCCAACAAAGGGGAACTCAGAGTTCTGGGTTCTTGGCTCCAGCTTGTCCCAGTCCTGGCCCTTATAGCCATTTGAAAAACAAACCAGCAGATGGAAGATATTCTCGCTCTCTTTCTCTCATTCTGTAACTCTGCCTTTCAAATAAAGAAGATAAATCTTAAAAGAAAAAAAAGCCTCTAACATCTGCAGGTAGGCAATTGGCCTAGTGATTAAAATAAAATTTAAAATTTTTAAATAAATAAAAACTCAAAATAAAACAAAAGTACTTATATGTGGGACCCACCTCAGAACAAGGAAATCCGAGACTGTGAGTCTGGAGCCCAGGCCATTCCATGGTTGAGAAGCTCCCTGAGAATTCCAGTGTTTGACCAAGTGGATGAACCACTGCTTTGTACTGGAAGGACCAGCAGCAGCATCACCTGGGATGGCATGAGATGTGCCTACTCCCTACTCCCATACCTGCCTCCAGACCCACTGAGTCATCCCATGCTGCTCTCAGTGCTCAATCAAGGAGCTTTGATTTGATCTTGAGACATTCAGAGCTCCCATCTGCTGCCCACTTGTTCACAACAGCCCTCATTTGGTCCAGTGCCAAAGTTGGAGGCCAAGAACTCAATCCAGTTCCCCTACTTGGGTTGCAGGGACCCAACGAATTGAGCCTCATCTGCAGCTCACGGGATGTGCATCTGCAGCAAGCTGGAATTGGGAGCAGAGCTGGGACTTGAACCCAGGCACTTGAATATGGAATGCAGGGGTCCCAAGCCACAGGGTAACTCATCCCCCAAGAAGGAGCCCAGACTTCAGTGATTCTAATTTAGCTGATCTTAGATGGGATGGAATCTGAGCACTGGCAAGTTTCCAAAGGAGAAGGAAGACAACTCTCACATAACTGGGTTTAAGGACAACGGTGAGTTAGAATCCTTCCTCTGGCTCCATTTGTGTCTTTACTCCAATCCTCCTTCTTACGTAGATTCAAAGATATCCAACCCTTGCCTACAGGTCGCATCTCCCAGGCTGCAGCTGACCTAGTTTATACTGGAGAGCTGGGACTCACCATTGGGGGAATCCTCCACTCTCCTGTCATACAAGAATAAATAGCACTGCGCGTTGCATAGTGTCATGAGGCTGGTGAAGACCACGAGGCTACGTAGCAGAGTGTCCTGGAACAGAAAGAGGGGTGAGGATGGAGAGTGGGTGAACCCAGAAGCACAGGGGTGGAGCTTTCACTCTCAGCTTACCTCGCACGCAAACGAGACCAGCACAAACCAGGAGTGTAAGCTATGGAAAGTGACACAGGTCAATGGCACCTGGAGTAATAATGCCCGGTGGCTATTTATCACAGGATTGGGGAAGCTTTTATGAAGAGGGCCTTTTCCTTCTTCTTTTAGCTTTGCAAGAATGATGGAGAAATGGAATTTCTGGCTTTCTAGGATCCATTGGGTCAGCTGGGGGACCACAGGAAAGACAGATGCAGCCCAGGCTGTGAGCAAGAAATCAGATGGAGTTTTTGTTTGTTTTGTTTTATTTTGTTTTTGTTTTTCTAGGTGGCAAAGGTATCTTTGGTGGTTATACACAAGTCGATCTAGGAGAAGGATCAAGCTATTCTTGTCATCCTTTTGAGATGAGCCACACAAACAAATAAACATTAAAGTGATAATTTCCAACAATCTCATAAAAAGGAAGATGGAGTGGGAGTACTTATTTTTTTTTTTTAAATTTGGGAGTTGGCACGGTGGCTCAACTGGCTAATCCTCTATCTGCAAGTGCTGGGATCCCACCCCACACAGGCAATCATTCTTGTCCCAGCTGCTCCACTTCCCGACCAGCTCCCTGCTGTGCCCTGGGAAAGCTGTCAAGGACAGCCCAAAGCCTTGAGACCCTGCACCCATGTGGGAGACTGGGAAGGAGCTCCTGGCTCCTGGCTTCAGATTGGCTCAGCTCTGACTGTTGCAGTCAATTATGGAGTGAACTAGTAGATGGAAGATCTTTCTGTCTCTGTAAATCTGACTTTCCAATGAAAATAATTTTTTGAAAGATTTATTTATTTACTATTTTTTTTAGAAAGTCAGATTTACAGAGACAGAAAGATCTTCCATCCACTGGTTCACTTCCCAATTGGTCACAATGGCTGGCACTGAGCTGTAGCCAGGAACCAGGAGCTTCTTCCAGGTCTCCCATGCAGGTGCAGGGTCCCAAGGCTTTGAGCTGTCCTCGACTGTTATCCCAGGCCACAAAGAAGAAGGAATCTGGATGGGAAGCAGAGCAACTCGGACATGAACCAGTGTCCATACAGGATTATGGCATATGCAAGGTAAGGATTTAGCTACTACACTACTGTGCCATGCCCTGAAAGTATTTTTAAAAATATTTATTGGAAAAGCAGAATGACAGGGAGAGACAGAAGGTGAAACAAAGATCCTCCATCTGTTGGGTCACTCCTCCAGTGGCCACAACATCTGGGGCTGGGACTCCATCCAGGTCTCCCTTGTAGGTGACAGAAGCCCAAGTACTTGAGCCATCTGCTGTTGCCTTCCTAAAGCATTACCAGGGAGTTGGGGTAGGAACAAATCAACCAGGACTCAAACCAGCACTCCATATTCGGTGCTGGCAGAGTAATCCACAGCTTAATCCTGTCCCGTATTGTTTTCTCCTGGCACTGGAATTATGTACTTTAACAGTTTTATATGTAATTATAACACACACACACACAAAATTTAAGTGCTTTTCTCCAGTTAAAAAGTAAGGAATGCAAAAAGAAGGTACTGACATGCGAAAAGAAGATTTACAAAAATGTGTACAGTCTGCCCACCAGAACCCCAAACCAACATCTTCACACATGCAAAAAAATACAGATGGGATATGTTAGACATTTATGCAGCAATAACATAGATTATGCCAAGCAATAAAAGGTACGCTTACCAAGATACCACAAACTTGTGTGGATTCGAAGCCACAGGATTTTTTTTTTTTCTTTTTTGCCTCTGAAAAAGCCTTAAAACCTGTGGCACTTACAGTTTGTTCGACTTTCTATTGAAAGATAAGCTATATACAACAGCGATTGGAAAGAATCAGGAAGTCAGTGCTATGGTGTAGCGGGAAATGCCACCGCCCTTGACGCTGGAATCCCATATGGGCAGTGGTTTGAATCCCAGCTGTTCCACTTCTGATCCAGCTCCGTGCAAATGGCCTTGGGAAAGCAGAATATGATGGCCCGAAGTTCGAATGTTTATCTTAAGACTGTAAAGTCTTCACAGAAAATGTAGGCAAATATTTATCTTACTCTCAGCATTAAAAAAAGAGGAAAAGCAGGTTTGAGCATGGAAAAGTTGCCAAAGCATCAAGAGAAATAAAAAATATATATATGGAGAACAGGATCATTTCAATTCTGTCATATATATATTCCCATGGAAAAAGGTATGCATCTCAGTATAGATGGTGTCATTTCATACCTGTGCCCATGGATGCAATGAACAAGCACGTGAAAAAGTTAGCTGACTGAGAACAAAACAAACGTCAGATGCAGATAAAAGAGAATCATAATGGGATGACGAGAATAGTGCATTAATTTAGAACACCCAGAGGGAAACAGGCACGTGTGGGAAGTGATGGCTACAAGAGTCGTGTTGGAACAAAAATTAAGGGTGAGATGCAACTTGAAAGCCTGCACCGACAGCCTTCAAAGCCTTCAGGACACCAGCAGCCTTCACTTTGCGTTTTCAAGATTTCATCTTAACAAGGCCATGCAGCAGTGGGAAAAGGAGACACGTATACACAATGGTTAAGAATGCAGGCCTGAGAAAAGCACCTGGCGAGCTGGAGAGGAGCGAGAGGAAGTCGAGGAAGTCGGTGGTGGCTGCAAACAGTTTGAGGGGTGTGGCTCCCCTAGGGAGCGGGGGATGTAGGGGCAGCAGTCAAACATGGTGTCTGATGGGACTACATGTTATCCAGGTGACAACGTCTCAGAAATGGGTCTGCTCCCCCATTCCACTTAGGTGGCCCGGAGATTGTCCTAGGTGGGTGCCAGATGACTTGAGCGACACCCATCAAAACTCCAGCTGCAATTCATTCCCCATGGAAAGGTATTAGCAGGCGGGACCTCTGATGAACAACTAGGTCCAGTTGGCATAAGCATTCATGAGTTCACAGACTACTACGTTATCTTAAGGGTGGGTCTAGAGGCTGGCTTCGAGGTGCAGCGGGTTAAGCTGCTCACTATTGACACACTGGCATCCCTTATAAGGGTGCTGGTTCAAGGCCCAGCCACTCTGCTTCTGACCCAAACCCTGCTAAACTCGCCTGGGTTCCTGACACCCACATGGGAAGCCCAGATAGAAGTTCTAGGCTTCTGGCTCCTGCCTGGCCCAGGCATGACTGTTGCAGTTATCTAGGGGGAGCAAAGCAGTGGATGGAAGATATCTTTCGGTCTCTCTCCCCTTTTCTCTGTCACTCTGTCTTTTCAAATAAATAGGAGTTGATGTTGTAGTGCAGAGGGTCAAGCCTCCACTTGAAATGCCAGCATTACACGTGGGCACCAGTTCGAGTACCAGTTGCTCCACTTTCCATCCAGTTCTTTGCTAATATGCCCGAGAAAGCAGAAAGATGGCTCAACTGGTTAGGCCCCTGTTCCCCATGAGGGAGAGCTGGATGGAATTCCAGGCTTCTAGCTTCAGACTGGCCCAGCAGCTTTGGGAATGGAGCAATGGATAGAAGATTCTTTCTCTCTCTTTCTCTCTCTCCAACTCTGCCTTTCAAGTAGGTAAATAAATCATACACACAGCACACACTCCTGTTCTCACTGAAGACCAATTACATCAGAGTATGGTTTATAAACCTGCCCCCAGGGCATCCTGCTTAGAGCTCGGTGCCAAGCCTCTACTAGACAGAGAGCCACGCCTGGTATCCCAAGCAGCTTGTAGCCTTTCCCTCACTCCTACCCTGGCTCAGCTTCTCTATAAAACAGTGCAACGGCAGGTCTGAAATTGCACTGAATAGTATAAGACATTCTCACAGACCCTAAGAACCAGAGAGAGGCATGTGAAATCTTGTTGGACTCCAGAGTTATTAGGAAGAAAAGCAACTCACATCTTAGGCAACAGAAAGCACGAATTCACCAAGATTTCCCAGAGTTCTGAGACTCTCTTCACACCCCGCATCTTCAATGTCAAGTCACGTAGCAAGGGTCATAACCAGGTCTGGTCATCATTAAATGCATTTAGTGGTTGCTGGTGCAAATGCAATTAAATAGAACATTTCCCCCCTTCCCGGCCTCTCTGTATGGACCCAGTCACCTACCATTGTGGTGCGCAGTGTCTGTACAGACAGGTACACCCAGCAAAAGTCAGATCCAGCTTTTATATGGGGCAGGATAATCCTTTGTGCAACATGATTCAGCAAAGCAACACACCTCAAGTGTTTACAGAAGGCTATCAATGTTCTCAGATGGTTTATGACTGATTCATAAATCAAGGCTCCACCCCAAGTGTTTACCCTTCTCTCTACCCCAACCACATTTCCCCTTGACCTGAGAGAGCAGGTCAGAGCAGGAGAGAGCTCTTCTGCATGGAGCCTTCCCTCTGTCCGGTAGCCAGCAAAGCACATGACACGTTCCGACTTGATTTTACAACATAGAGATGGAGGTTAGGGATGCCAGACCATGAAGCTGGGTATTGTGAAGAAGCCCCAGGGACCAGCCCAGCAGGCCCACCAGGCCTGCAGCAGCCGCCCCAATGTACTAAGTCATCCGGCATGGCGTGGGAGACCTCTGCTGAATGCACAGGTTTCTCTGGCCAAGCCACATGACTCCACCTACTGGAATTTCCTAAAGCTCTTGCTGAATCTTTAGCTTACTTCTCTTTCTCCTTCCTGTTCTTCTTCTAAGATTCATTATTGAAAAGCAGAGAGAGCGAGCAAGAGAGCGAGCTTCTATCTGCTGGTTCACTCCCCATACAGCCATACAGTTACCCGATGGGGCTGGGTCCAAGTGAAGCCAAGGAGCTTAAAGCTTTATCTGAGTATCCCACCTGGATGGCAAGGCCCAAGCACTTTCCCAGGTGCATTAGCAGGGAGTGGGGTCACAGGTGGGGAAGCTGGAACTCAAACTGGTGCCCATATGGGATGTGGGCAGAGCCAGCTGCCTCCCTGTGCATGGTACATTGACAGATGATAGGAAATGGATGGATGGCTAGATAGATGAGAAAAGAAAGGAAAAGTTGATGCTCAACTTTAACTGTATCTCAATGTTCACTTTATAAATAGAACTAGCCTAATTTTTCCATGTGCATGTACGTATGATGTATACATGTATTTGGTTGCACCCACCCCAACCAATCCAGGTTCACTGTAGGAAAAAAAAAACATATGGAAAGAGATAAAACAAAACAGTAACAACAAAAAGCCACAGGTGATTGGACCATCCAAGAGAGCTGCTGTAACTATGTTGCAGAATTTCTCTCAAGTTTCCTGGGTGTATCTGCACGGAGGAGAGGCCAAGGTCATGTGTACCTTCTTCACACATGGCATCTCCCCTGCACTGCCGTGCTGTCTGCTCTCCTCACTCAGAAATGCCTCCTGGGGACGCAGGGTTGACCTCACGGCTGAGAGGAAGGTTAAGAAGACCACACCCCACTTCGGAGAGTCGGAACTGCAGTCCCAGCTCCTGCTCCTGACTCAGCTTCCTGCCAATGCAGACCCTGGGAGGCAGCAGCGATGGCTCAAGTGCCTAGATTCCCACCACTCATGTGGGAGACTTAGATTGAGCTCTTGGATCCTAACCAGTCCTGGCTGTTGTACACATCTGGGGAGAGAGTCAAGGGTCTCTCTCCTGCTCTCTCTTTACCCACTAAAAATCTAAACTTTGGGGGATGGCATGTTGGCGTTACTAGTCTTCCACCTTCAGCAATGGAATCCTATGTGGGCACTGGTTCATCCCCCAACTGCTCCACTTCTGATCCAGCTCCCTGCTTACAACCTGGGAAAGCAGTAGAGGATGGCTCAATGCCTTGGGCTCCTGCATTCAAGTGGAGACATGGAGGAAGCTCCTGGCTTTTGGATTTAATAAGCTCAGCTCTAGCCAGCTCTTAGCTGTCTCCATTTGGGGAGTAAATCAATGAATGAAAGACTTATTCTCTCTCTGCCTCTCCTTATCTCTTAGTAAAATCTGCCTTTCAAATAAAAATAAATAAATCTTAAGTGTTGCATATATACCCTTGAGTATCAGTAATTTGGAATATGATCACCAGGTTTTCAAAATTTTTAAATTTCATTATAAAACAGAGAGAAAAAGAATTTTTCATCTACTGATCCAAGTCAGTGAAATAAATCTTAGTTTTTTTTAAATCGCATGATTCTATGAGACCATGTTGAACACTAGGGTTGCTGATTTTTGACCCAGATTAAGAACTATGAAAATTTAAATCCTTTAGGTAAAAATTTCCCCACATTTAACACTCATTTCCTTAAGACAAATTCATAGAGGCAAAATTTCTGGGTAAAAGAAAACATAATTTGTCATCTATTATTCTGATAGCTGGAAAATAATTTTTGTTATAGTGACTTTCCTTTCATCATTGGCAAGTTTTAGGCTGTTCCTTTTTTTTTTTTCTGTTTTGAACTGTCTGCATTTATTTTCTCCTTGGTTAGTCAAAATTCGTCCTAAAGATACTAGCTCTTAACTGCCACACAGGTTAAAATGCTTTCATCATTTTTCATAGCCAGGACACTGACTTTAGACTTTTGGGTTAATTTTAAGCTTCTGATATTTATTTATTTGAAAGACAAAGTGTGTGTGTGAGAGAGAAGAAACAGAAACAGGGAGAGAAAGAGAGCTCCCCAAATGACTGCAGTAGGTAGGGGCTGGGCCAGAAACTCCATTCAGGTCTCCCACGTAGGTAGGGACCCAAGAACATAAGCATCTTTTGCTGCTTTTCCAGGTGCATTAGGGAACAGGGTCCGATGTGGAGCAGGTGGAGGGTGAGCAAGTGCTCTGACAAGGGTTGCTAAGGCTGCAAGAGGCAGCTTAACCCACTGTATCATAACACTGGTCTCTGGCTTGGGTGTTGGAGGAGTATCGAATTTTCCCCACTCATGTTTCTACTTTTATAATGATGTGTTTTTGACAGGTAGATTTCAAGCCATTGGTACTTATTACATGGTTCCTGGCTTTGTTTAGGTGAGATTAGCTAGCTTGTTGAGTGTCATATTTTAAGACATTTTACTATTAAGTAAGCAATGAATACACATGATAAAACTTAGAGAGACTCCTTTCTTCCTGCCTTTCAATGTCTTAGATCACCTTTCTTTTTTTTAAAAAAAAGATTTTATTTTTTATTGAAAGGCGGATATAAAGAGAAGAGAGACAGAGAGGAAGATCTTCCGTCCGATGTTTCACTCCCCAAGTGAGCGCAATAGCCGATGCTATGCTGATCCGAAGCCAGGAGCCTCTTCCTGGTCTCCCATGCGGGTGCAGGGTCCCCAGGCTTTGGGCTGTCCTCGACTGCTTTACTGGGCCACAAGCAGGGAGCTGGATGGGAAGCAGGACTGCCAGGATTAGAACCGGTGCCCATATGGGATCCCAGGCGTGCAAGGTGAGGACCTTAACCACTGCGCCACCGCGCCGGGGTCAGATCACCTTTCTTGACCCCTGCAGTTACTAACCACTCTGGTGTCTATCTTTCTATGGATATCTATACATGCAATGCAGCAACTGAGAAGTTAGTGGAAAATGCACTTTATGGAAAAATTTGTACATAAATTACAGATTTATTTTTTGCACCACACTAACTTGTATTTTAAATCTATTTCCCATAAACTTAGAAAAAAAAGTATTTGACATGGGGAAAACAAGTAGAGAGGAACAGGAAAAGACAGAGAGCTTCTGTGTCCTGGTTTCTTCCCCAAAAGGTTGGTAATATGGACACTGGGCCAGGTGTTAGCCAGAAAGTGGGAACTCCACTGGGGTCTCACACACGGGTGGCAGGGGCCCAGGCCCTGGAGCCAGCACCTCTAACTCTCAGGTTCTGAGTTAGCCAGAAGTGGGGCAGCAGCCGGATGCTCAGATGTGCCACACGGTGTCAGCTCCATTGGTGAAATGCCAGCTCTTCCACAAACCCTACTGAGGATCGTCTTCTACATGCAAACGCTTGTGCTCTTGGGAAGGTGCTCCCTAACACCTTGCCCGCGATTCTGCACTTGCTGTTGTCTCTTTGTGCTCCATCCCAGCTGCCCTAGGCCTCCCTGATGTTCCCAGGAAGTCCGTCACACCCAGGTCATTTTCACTGCATGACCAAACCTCGCCTGAAGCACCTGCCAGCCTCGCTGCCTTGCTCCCCTAAGTTATCACTTCAGTGCCATCTTCTCAGTGGACCTTCCCTGAACGACCTGTGCACCCTCTCATCTGTGCACCTGCCCTCAGTTCCCTGCTTCTTATCCTTCCTACTTCGGTTTGCCTCAAGACACTACGCCTTGTTACCCTAGAGGCATAGTTTCCTACTTATTTATTCATTGCCTGATTTTTAGGGCCTGTGCAGTGGCATAGCAAGTGAATCCTCCACCTGCAGTGCCGGCATCCCACATGGGCACCAGTGCATGTCTTGGCTGCTTCACTTCTGATCCGGCTGGTCTGGGAAAGCAGAAGATGGTCCAAGTCTTCGGGCCCAGAAGCAGCTCCTGGCTCAGGGCTTTGGATCAATTCAATCCCACAACAAGTTGTGTACGTGTGTGGTGACACTGTTGTAAACACAATTACTGCACTTTTGGTTGCATAAGAGTACACAACATACAATTATGCACATTACATAATAGTTGATAATAAAATAAACATCTGGGGGCCTGGTATAGTTAGCCTAGCAGCTGAAGTTCTTGCCTTGAACACGCTGGGATCCCATATGGGTGCCAGTTCTAATTCTGGCCACCCCGCTTCCCATCCAGTTCCCTGCTTGTGGCCTGGGGAAGCAGCGGAGGACGGCCCAAGATCTTGGGACCCTGCATCTGTGAGGGAAACCTGGCTCCTGGCTTCGGACTGGCTCAACTCTGGCCATTGTGGTCACTTTGGGGAGTGAATCAGCAGATGGAAGATCTTTCTTCTCTGTCTCTCCTCCTCTCTGTATATCTGACTTTCCAACAAAAAAAAAATCAAATAAATCTTTAGAAACAAATAAACATCAGGGTTCCTGGCTTTAGGCACTTACTCTGCTACACTGACATCATTATTCTACAGTACACTCCTTCCACTTCTGGACTGCCAATGCATCTCTAGGAATGGAATCCCATGGCTGTCCTTGCGGAATGCATGTGTGAACGAGTGCCAACAGGTGCTTCGTACAGCCCGACGCCCAACACGGGATCTGGGAGTGGAGCCACAGCTGAGCTGC